CACCCTCAGCCCTCTCCTCCTCTCTAACCTGGTTCTCTCACAAATCTCATTTTCTCTGAAGTCTAATCATCTCTATAGAGTCTCTCTTCTGAGCTCCTGTAGCACAACTTCAGCTGCCATCTTGATGTCCTGTAGCACCTTCAATTCAACAGGGCTAACTCCTCACAGCCCTTCAGAAGTGTTTTCCCCTGCACTTTCCGGTTTCTGAGAGGGGACCACCCGTGTTCAGTACCCTGGCCACAAAGTCCTGGATTCACTGTCAACTCCTCTTTCTAGACTTCCACTGTCTTACTGCCTCTACCAGCTACGAATCTTTGGGTTGCAAGAAAATTCAACTCAAACTGACTTAAACGCAAATATTTTCTTACATAACTGGGAAATCCAAGGATATCCTGCTTCCACACACGGATGAGTCCAGTTCAAATCTGAAACCACGGGGACTCTCCTGCTTTTCTCTCCCTTGGCTCTGCTTTCCTTTATGTGGGCTCCATTCTCAGGCAAGTTAGCTCATGTGGCAAGATGGCTGCCAACAAGTCCAGGCTTACATCATATCCTTAGCAACACCAGGGGCAAGAGAGCACCCTGTTCTCAGGTAATAATAGAAGAACACCCTGGATTAGCTTTTATTCTAACTGGATCAGGTGCCAGTTCCTCAAGCAGTTTCTGGGGCTGGGGGCTTGAGGTGGAGGAAGTGATGCTGAGTATCCAGGTCTGGGTCTAGGGGTGGAGTCGATTCACCCCAACCACATGAACAGAGAATGGGGGTGGAATGGTTGTCTAAGAAATATATGGGTTCCATCACCAGGAGGAAAGAGGACTTATGTGGGGCAGGAAATCAACTAAGGAGACACCTGCTACAGTCTGAGAGATGGCAGACAGGGATCTGACCAGGTAAGTGCTATAGGCACAGAAAATGAAGAGAAGCATCTTAGAGATACCCGGGAGTTAGAATTGACAAGACTTGTATGAGGGTAAGAGAGAGGCAGGAATCCAAATGACATTAATTTCTGGCTTTGGTGATCGGTGAGTGGTAGTGCCTTTTCTGAGACCGAGAAGAGATTTTAAAGGAGGAAAGGTGATGACTGAGTTTACATGCTGAGTTTGAGATGTTTATGAATCTTTAGGTAGCGATGTCCAGCAGATGTGGGTTGGAAATGAACGTGGGGTTACCAGCCATAGGTGATGGTTGGTTGGAGTCATGGAAATGGGTGAAAATGAGCCATGATGAATGTGCATAACGAAGAGAGCCAAGATCTGGCCCTGTGAAAACGTTTTAAGGAGTGTGCCAAGAGTGGTTAATAACCTCAAATATTGCAGAAGGTAAATAAAAGCTAAATTGGTCCATCTAATTAGCAACTACAAACTGGTGACTTTGGTGAGTAGTTTCATTGGAATGGTAACGGCACAAGCCAGGATTAAGGAGAATCAAGGACGGGATGGGAGCTGAAGAAGCCCAGGCTTAGGGCTAAGGAATCCCTCTGAAGGAGCTTGGCTGGGATGGAAGATAGGCCAGAATACAGTGTCTTTTCCCTAAAGCACATATTCTTTGTGCGTATCAGTCAACATCTCAATTGTTTTCATTAGCTTTTGTTTTAAACATATGCATGTCTGTTCCACATTCTCAACTAGACTCTTAAGTTCTTGAAGGTAGCAAATGACTTTATCTGTGTGAACTTCATTAAGACTGAGAACAGTACACTGCCCACAGTAAGAATAAAATACTTGATTGATAAAACATGGATTTGGAGCCTGAGTAAAGGGTATCCTTACATCAGCGACCCAGCCAAGTGTCCTGGTGCCTGACTCCCCAGTTTTTGTCCCACTCTGGGAAATAAATGTGTAGCAACTGAGCTGAGGCAAAGTCCAGAACAGCTTCTCAAACTAACATGCTACAAGTGGGCAATGGTTCTAGGGTGCTGAGTCCCTGGAGGTCCTTCGTGTTTTGAGGGCTACCTATAATTTACTGATTTGTGGACTCTAAAACAAGGGAAAAGGAAAGGCCTGGTTTACACACATTCATCAAGCAGAATAAAACCTTTACAGTTCATCACAGAATCCTTAATGGTGGTCAGAATCTGGCCTGTCTGAGCAAGGCCAAACAATCCCATTTAAAAGAAATTTTGGTGAGTGCTCAGAGCAGTAAAAGTTCCAGACTGGACTTGGCTGGTTCTTCTACTGAATAGGAAAAGCAACACAAAATGGCTATATGAAGTAGTGTGACATCAGGAAAACAGCATTAAACTCGATAGCCAAAAGACCTAGTTCTCTATGCCTCTATGTCATTAGCTGGGTGCCCTTGGGCTAGCTGCTGGACCTTTCTGAGACTGTATTCTTATAAGGGGATAATACCTACCTTGCCAACCTCATTAAACTCCAGTGAATGGCTCACATAATCCTCCTTCCCTCCTAAGAACTCAAACTGGATGTAAAAATACTGGGTAACCTACAGAGCAGGAATGGTGATTTTTAATGTGTTAAGTACTACTATATGCTTAGCACTCTGTTTATTCACTACATATTCACAAGCTACAACTTAAATCACCACTCACTTCTCTGTGACACGCCCCTCCCCCATAACATTCTCCTTCTTGGATCACTGGTGTGTCAGATATCGGATACCAGTTCTAGGGCAAGAGCTTCTAAAGATCCGGATCTATTCAAACAACGTGGCATATACTCCAACGTGCTTGATTGATAATAGCATTATCATCAACAAATCCAGATGGCCACAAATCATGGTCTCTGGATATAAAAATCCCACACAGTCAAGCACTAGAGCAGATGCAAAAAGAATGATGTGAGAAATAAGTATAGGATGAGCTTGTGTAAGTTGTGTGTTGGAATTCCAAGCACAAGGAATGGTACATTTCTCAGCACAGAGGTGAAGTCTGCAGGGAATTTTCAGAAATGGGAGACAGAAAAACTTTATAATGAACACAAGGAAACTGGCAGTCTCAAGCAGAAAAAATAAGAAAAGCTAAAAGAAAAAAAAAGTTATTCTGTGTTCAAGTTTTTGAAGGTTATATGAAGTATAATTTGGAGATCACAATGGGATTTGCAAGATTTAATTCAGTATTTAAATCTTCATTTCCTTGCTGCTCCAGGAAGTTATCAAATTAGAAAATTAGTGATTCTTCCTATTTTGCTTATGTCTCATCAACTGGTTTTCCTATCCCTACGCCGATGACAGGGATGATACAGCCCATCATCAGTGTGAGGTTTTGAGAATATTAATTTTAAATGGACTGACTTAAAGGCCCTAAAAAGGGACCAAGATATGCAGTGTTAAGGACTCCTCTTTATGCCTGAAAGAGCCAGATGGAGCCTTATGGAAGGGTGTTCTAGCTGTGCATGTGTGCAGAGGCCTAGGAGGTTACTTGGGGAAATAAAAACAGCCGATAATGTCCGCTTCATTTGAGCATTTATTTTTAAGTGGCTTTCTAACTCAAAGTGTTAATCATTGGGCTCCTGGGTGGCTCAGTTGGTTAAGCGACTGCCTTCGGCTCAGGTCATGATCCTGGAGTCCCGGGTTCGAGTCCCACATTGGGCTCCCTGCTCAGCAGGGAGTCTGCTTCTCCCTCTGACCCTCTTCCCTCTCGTGCTCTCTATCTCTCATTCTCTCTCTCAAATAAATAAAATCTTTAAAAAAAAAAAAATGTTAATCATTACTTCCTATGGTCATCAATAGGGCTGAGCTCACTGCAAATGCTATGTACAAGAAAAGCTCATAGCGCAGAAACACCACCACCTAAGCCACTGTCTTTGTATGTCCTTCTCACCTGCCCCTCCTCACACCTCCCCGGGGTAACTTTCAAAGCTTCTAATAAAACTCAACATATGTATTTAAGATGATGCACAGCATTTCTTGCACTGCCATCAGTTAGTTTTGGGAGGGGACCTTGCTTTGAATGTTTCAAATGACCCATCATTCAGCAAGCCTGGTTAGGGGGAGTCGCCCCTCCCACGTTGCTCACCCTGGAGAAGCTAGCACCTGCCAGAAGCCTGTTCCTCACCTCGAGGTGCCCTGCAGCGTTCGCTGGCAGCTTGCATCCTTCAGTCATGTGTGCACAACAGCGGCTGGGCCCGTCTGAAGGCATGAGTGGCCTGTAATGATCACATCAAGAGTCCTAACTGGTTGGTTATTTTCAAACTCTACCATCAAAATATTTAGGTGACTGGGTGCTCAGCGTTGAGACATGCTACGCCGTTTCCTATTGGCCATTTTTCAGAGGAAGTCTATCTTTTCCAGCCCTTCCAAATGGCAGCATCTAGAAGGTACTCTAAGGAGGGTTTTTACTGTAAGTTGAGGTTTTAAGAAAGAATATTTTAGAGTGAGACACTGAAAGCAACCTGGGAGAAAATCAGGCAACAGCAACACTAACCAAAGTGAATCAAGCACAAATACTAATGGTCCTGAGATATAAACTATTAGGCACAAGATAAAACAACATATTGCAACTTTATTAGATTTTTCTATTTTACTGGCTATTTGGACTCAACAAAGGCCTTAGTAACCTGTCACTTTAACATCTTCAGGTGTCACCGTACAGAACACAAAATCTGACTGGATGGCACCTGTCAACCTGTCGAGAACAACCGTTAACATCACAGCTGTGGTCATGTAATGTTTTTATAATAATTCAATCACAAACATATTCAGTATCATGTGCAGGTTTTCTGCTGCTGCAAGACCTCATCCAAACCAGGCCTTGTTAATGACAGGTCCCAAAAGATGCCATGTGCAGGTAAGGCAAAACTCTGCCTCATATTTAGGATAAACAAAGTAGCAAGTCTATGAAAAATTACTTTTGAGCCCCTATTCCTATACCTCCATACACATTCCCTCCTCAACGTATCCCATTATCCATTCATCTAACATCCGGATAGGACCCCGTGGGTACTTTCCAAGTGAGAGTGGTGTTTAGGGTTTTGCTGGGTTCAGGGGAAGGGGCTGGATGGGTGGATGAATGGACAAACCAACAAAGGGTGGAGGGAAAGGAAACATTCAAAAAAACTTATTTACTAGAACGCGCTTCATCTCAGACTATAAACCGGGCTTGCTGTAAAGAAGTTCATTCTGATGACTACAGGCTTCCATGAATGAGTTAGGCAGTATCTTGATCTAACCCTACCCCCTAACACATTTTCCTAAAACCTGTGGGACAAGCAGGGAGGAAGCACAGACATCCCTTTCCAAATGAGGGCAATGGGACTCCTCCTGGAAGGTAATGTTACCACCCTGGCTCCCGAGAGCGGCAGCTGCCCGCCAGCCATTCGGGGGCGGGCAGTTACAGCTGTGCACGTTGAGCCGGTCGGGTCTCAGGTGTCTGAGGAGCGTTTCCGTCGACCTTCGTTCCATGAGGGGCAGTGGCGTTTGGCGACTGCGGTCAGCGTTCTATCCTTTGATCACGGCAATCGGTCTCAGTTTAATGGCCTTCTTGCTGATTCCAGCATCGTGGCAGGTGTTCACCACATCCGTCACGTTCTTATAGGACTCAGGAGCCTGCAGGGGAGGAGTTAAACATTGTAAAAATCTACTTAAAATGTAATCCTTGAAAGCATTAAACTTCATGTGGGATCAAGGAAATGCACATTAAAATAATACTGAGTTTTCTTTTTGGTGTGTGTATCAAACAAAGATGATGAGTGAACTCAATGTTGGTAAGAGGTTAACAAGATAAACACTTTCACCTTGTTTTATATTTTTTCTGTCTCATAATTTCCCCATAGAATGTATATTACTTGTATAACTAGAAAAAACAGTAAATGTTTAACTGAATAAAACACACACCCTAATACCCAACAGAAAGGGAAATGCACCAAATCATCCTGTTAGTGGTAATTATCTTTGGTTGGTAGTTACTGGCCATACTGATTTTCTTTCTTTATTTCTATAGTTGTCAATTTCTGGAATGAAGAGCTATTACTTTCACAATAAGGGAAAGTTATTCAACGCACCTCTATCACTAACGCTGTGTGTATGTTTATGTGCACACACACGGATGCGCGCTCTTCTGAGTTTCCAGCAAGACCTCGACCCTCCCTTCCCCCTCAGTCACTGTCCATTCAGACTAGTCTCATCACACACCCCCTCTCCCCGTTGATGGCAGCATAGCAGTTCAGGCCTCCCAGTGGATTCCCACAGGGCTCCGTACACACCCCTTGCTAGCTCATTCCCCTCCAATCTCTAACTTTCTCGCACTGCAGCCTCTGGACTCCTTCCAGTTAGTCATGTGCAGAACGCTCTCCTTGTCCCCCCTGATCTGAGCACTCCCTTCACCCTCCTGCTCTTGAGAAAACACAGATCTCCCCCAGGGGTGTAACTTCCACCTCCAACTTTCTGAAGTACTAGCTACCTTCCCTCCTAAGTGGGGTCCTGTCACTAGGCCCAGGAGGGTGACAGGTGGCCTTGCTCATCTTGGTTCTTTCCAGACCATTCGCACCCCCTCCTCCCTAAGGACTCCCCGTTTCCCGTTTTGAGTCTCCGGTCATCTTTCACTCCCTCTTGTTGCGGTTACCTGCTAGACCCAGAAGCACTCCGTAGCATTACTTGAAGATTTCTCGCTCCTGGCTCACTGTCACTTTGTCCTGCTATAATTCCAAATGGGTTCAGTATCTAGGAAAAGGACCCTTTCGGTATCTTGGCTTCTAGTTCCTTGACTTTTGCTCCTTCGATGCTTACCCTGATCATTCACTCCCAGCCAGGGCCACCACACCCCATAACTTGTCATTACCAGCAATTACAACTCCTCCCTAATCTCCCTTTGGAGCCTGTCAGGCTGCTGATCACAGCTAGGTTTCCAGCTCACGCCCTCCTGTGCTCCATCTCCAACAATCCTTGAACCCCGTGAGATGTACAATCCCTTTGCAATCCCTCAACAACCTTGCTTCTCTTCCCCTGCACCATACTTGCAAACCTGGTTAAAGTTAACTCAACCTCTATTTCATGCCTGCACCTGTTCAGCTGAATGTAGTTGAAAAACACCCGATCACCGAATTTAGCTCAAGCAGGCCCTTGCTGCTGCCCTGGCACCCACCCAAAATCTCACCATGTTGATTATTCTTTCTCTTAAATGGTTATCTCATACCTTCTCCTGTGTCCTCACGCTTATGTTGCTGGTACCACTTTCTATTACGCTGAAAAAGGAGAAACCACCAGAACAGAATCTCCATAAAATCTCACCAGCTCTTCCCTGACTACCTGCATCCTACCTTCTCTCCTTTCATTAAGGATTCATTATCTGAGCTCCTAGCAAAGGCCAACCCCACGCACTCTCGTCTATCCAAGGACACTACTCCAGTAATGCCCCCCTCTTTTCTGCATCATCAATTTCTCTTCCAGATTCTTCTCATCAGTGTGCCAGATCATGTCACTCTTCTGCTCAAAATTCTCCAGTGTCTTCCCATCACCTCCCTCAGAGTAAGAGCAAAAGTCCTTTTGTAAAGGAAAGGCAAGGACTCACACGATCTGGCGCGCCGACCTCTCTGACCTCAGCTCCCTCTTGCTTGCTCTTGTCACAGTGGTCTTCTTGCTATTTCTCCAACATCCAAACATAATCTCGCCTTAGGGTTTGTGCATGTGGCTGTTCTCTCTGCCTGGAAAGCTTGCCCCTAGACACCTACGTAGTCCACTCCCTCACTCCCTTCAGGTCTTCCCTCATCACCCCACCACACCCTGTTTAAAACCGCACCCACTTCCTATCTTTCCCTATCCCTGTCCCATTCGTACTTTGCAGCACTTAATGTCTGTCATCTAACACTACATCTTTTACTATGTGCTAAGTTTCACAAAAAAGGGATTTGTTGGTTTTGTTCTCTGCAGTACCCCTAACACATAGAATAGCACCTAACTATAGATGTTTAATAAGCATTTCCTGAGTGAATGAAAAAATCATATGTAAAACATACACATAAAGAAAATACCAAGTATCAATAGAGGTTATCTCTGGTTGGTGGAATTTCAAATGTTTTGTTTTCTTCTTTGCATTTTCCAAAATCTCTTAATGAAATAGGTGTTTCTTTTCTTTCTTTTTTTTTTTTAAGAGAGGGAAGGGCTCGGGAGAGGGAGAAAGAGAATCTTAAGCAGGCTGCATGCCCAGAGTGGAGCCGGGCTTGATCTCACAACCCTGAGCTGAAACCAAGAGTCAAACGTTTAACCAACTGAGCCACCACCCCATAAACAGGTATTATTCTTCAAGTCAAAGAAAAAATTGTTATTAAGAAATAAGGCTTTGTCATACTCTGTGACTCAGTAAAGTCTACTCTTGGGATTTCAGTCTCATTATTAAAAACAGCTGGATGGGGGCGTGAGTGGCTCAGTCGGTTAAGCGACTGCCTTCAGCTCAGGTCATGATCCCGGAGTCCTGGGATCGAGTCCCACATCAGGCTCCCAGCTCAGTGGGGAGCCTGCTTCTCCCTCTGACTCTCTCCCCTCTCATGCTGTTTCTCTCTCGCTCGCTCTCAAATGAATAAAATCTTAAAAAAAAAAAAAAATAATAAAAAAATAAAAACAGCTGGATAGGGCGCCTGGGTGGCTCAGTCGTTTAAGCTTCTGCTGTCAGCTCAGGTCATGATCCCAGGGTCCTGGGACTGAGTCTGCTCAGCGGGGAGCCTGCTTCTCCCTCTCCTCCCCATTCGCTGTCTTTGTCTCTCTCTCAAATAAATAAAATCTTAAAAAAAAAAGAAAGGTAAGAATCATTCTTGTGGCCTTGCCTTACAATTAATCTCCAAACAAAAGACAACGATAAATTGTAATTGAGATTATTTAAAAACAAACATAGTATCTGATAGCAATACCAAAAGTTATGCTGTGTAGTGGCATAAATCACGGACAGTTTTATGCTGAGCATTTATCAAAATTTCACTTACCTCTTCCATAACCAATTTGGGTGAGGCAACGCGGATTGCGATTCCCATATCTGCCAGTTTGTCCAAGACATCCTGAAAATCTAAATTACGACGAGATTTTGCTCGGGACAGTGCACGGCCCTAGATTAGGAAAGGAATGATCTTTAAAAATTCTGAGCTAAAATTTACATTCAACTCCAGTAATTATTTAAACTTTTGGGATTTATGCCTTTTCCTTGACGACTTCTTTAGAGTTAGAAAATAATCTTTTTCTGTTTCATCAACCTTAGTGTCTTTTGTTACAATCTCATTGTATCCTTCCGGAAAACGAATTTCCACCTATACAGAACATTCAGTATAGAAAGATAATTTTATATCTCTAATTACTATTAATTATCAATTCAATATAAATTGGTTTTAATCACAAACAGTAAGTCTGTCATCACAAAAACTTTGTGCCTTGTGATTTAAGTTTCTCAACCTTAGCACTCCTCACATTTTGGGCCAGATAATTCTATGTCACGTAGAATGTTCAGCAGCATCCCTGGCCTCTACTAGATGCCAGAACAAAACTCCCCACCCTTACTGTGACAATAAACAAACAAACAAAAACAATGCCTCCAGGTGTTGCTAATGTGTGGTATGCGATGTTGTGGTTTTTTTTTTTTTTTTAAAGATTTATTTATTTATTTTGAGAGAGTGAGAATGAGAAAGAGAGAGAGCACATGAGAGGGGGGAGGGCCAGAGGGAGAAGCAGGCTCCTCGCCGAGCAGGGAGCCCGATGCGGGACTCGATCCCAGGACTCCAGGATCATGACCTGAGCCGAAGGCAGTCGGCCAACCGAGCCACCCAGGCACCCTGTGCTGGTTTTGATCACTGGGTTAAAATGAGGAGTTGGGAGGCAGCTGGAAATGAGAAGGGATCAGAGAAAAAGGAAGGCTCAAATATATTTGTGAGGGTCTGTCCTATGAGAAGGTACTCTAGAGTTTCAATTTTCCACTCCATCACTAGCTAAGCACCCCCATGGCTCAGAACATGGCTTGGCAAACTGGTTTGTGGGCCAAATCCGGCCCAGCACCTGTTTCTGTAAATAAAGTTTTACTGGAACACAGTAATTCCCACTAGTTTATGTATGTCTATGGCTGCTTTTTCACTACAATGGCACAATGGAATAGGTACTAGAGACCATGTGGCCCCAAAGCCTAAAATATCTACTGTCTGGTGTTTTACAGAAAAAGTCTGCCAACCCCTGGCTTAGAAGATAAGAGGCGATATGGTGAAATAGGTGTGCTGTCTACGCCTGGGCTCTGACGTGCAAATCCCCCAAATCTTGAGTGGACCTACCTAGAAAGGAGCAAATTCCGCAAATGACTAGGTCTGTGAATGGCTGAGATAAGCTGTGATGTGAACTTGCATCAGTTAAAGTTCTATCCGTTACGCCAGTGTGGGACTTTCCCAGTCTGGATTTTGTGGACTTGCAGAGATGGGAAACAGTCCCTCACTCTACAACGACTTCCACTAAGGTAGAGATTACTAAGTGACCTTTGTCGGTTCACTAGACAGCATATGTTATGGTAAGAAATTCAGGTAGAAGACAAGATGGATCCAAATTTCAACTCTGTTAATGCTCAACTACATTAACCTGTCAAAACGCAAAATGACAAACTGAAGAGAGCATTTCTAAGTCAGTTTGTTTTCCTTACCGCTCCATGACAAGTCGTTCCAAAGGTCTCAGTCATACCCTGTTCAGTGCCAGTAAGAACGTAACTACAAGTGCCCATGGTGCCGCCAATGAGCACGGGTTGTCCAGTGAGCTGAGGATGCACACACAAATCAAACATATTACAATTTAGAAAAGCTTTAGATGAGCTTTTTATGCCTGAGATTTATACTTCCTTCTGCAGTGCAGGACTGTGGGAGAAACCTGGGCCTCCAAATACACTGCTTTCAAAACTTACTACAACATTATTTTAATTCTTGGATAATCGGGAGGGAAAAATGTGAGGACCAGGAAGGCAGCAGAAGACAGACAATGCAAGAGTGAAGCCAAATTCAAATGTCTGGGGAAGCGTCATTAGGAAGAACCATCCCGGGCAAGGCGCTTGACCTCTCCAGGTTCAGGCTAAGGGCCCTTCGACCTCTACCACAGCCAGATACCAAGAAGAGAGGAGAGATGAACAGACTGAGTTTAATCTTAATCTTGCCTTCCAATCATTCAAAAGCCTTGAAGAGATCACCTATATGGAGTAAGAGTCTCCATGCAGGACGTTTTAGACTTCCCACTGCAGGCACAGATGAGGGGGGAGTCACTGCTTCAGAGAAGACTGGAAATCACTGTTCTCAGGGAGGACAGACTTTCTTTACACAACCACTGCCTCTCTGTTTAAATTCACCCATGTTTAGAACGACCTAAATCATGCCCCCACGGCCTAAAACCACAAATGGCTTAGTACATACTTGGTAATCAACAGCAATGAGGGGATGGTGAGGGGGGAAAGCTCGGGTGGATCCCTTCCTGTGAACCAACAGTGTCCGTTCCTTTCCGTCCACCACATGCTGCTCTACTTTGGCAATATTGTGAGAAACGTCATAGATCACATGCAGGTCCAAGTCATCAGGGGTTGTGTTGAAGACCTTGGCAAAGGCCTAAAAGGAAAAGCCCATGTTAAAAGTGGCCAGAACCAGCTCTTCAGAACTCCTCTAACTGATTTCAGCTGCTCTATTTCTATAGGGAGTGAGGGATTTAAGAGCTCAAATATAGCGGTATTATTAATCTTCACATAAAAGACAAAAACCATCCTTTACACCACATTGCAAATTTCACTCCATAAATTCCAACTCTGGTTGAAAAGCTGCTGGGCTACTCTTGATTCCACCCTTCAGAACAGCTTCTTCCTCAGCCTTCTCATCTTTGTGAATGCACTTCTATCCTATCTGCTGCTCAAGGCAAATTCTAGGAACAATTTTGATTTCTCTTCTTCTCTCATTCCCCACACCTGATACTCTGCTGATTTGATTTAAGGAAACATCAAGAGCCTGGATACTTTGCCAATGTTTCCGATATTTATTACACAGATTTCGAAAACCAGATTCTACAGGCTCTGTTTTAAACCTCATCATGAGTAACAGAAGAGCAACTTCAACTGTACCTGACGGGTTAAGAAGGTCATGGAGGAGCGGTTGACCCAGGCATAGTTCCCAGCAGCTGCCATCCCCTTCAGGTAGTCCTGACCCTCTGGGGAAGCAATCCGAGCACAAGCCAACTGCCGGTCGTTGACTATAATCTTGTCTCTCTTCATGGCTTTTTCCATAGCTACCAGTGCATCTGGACCAGAGAGAAGAAGTCTAAATCGGCCGCTTTTACCTTTATAATTCACCTTTATCGCAGAAAAGTAGGCTACATTCAAAATCATTTCGAAATGGAAAATACAACTTTTCCTTTGACGTGTTTCTAAATTCATGTATTTGCTTGGTCAAGACGTGGTTACTGAGGATGTTCTGTCAGCGCTGTGTGACATAAAATATGTGGGTTACAAAGCTAACACCTTCCCTGTAGGAACTTGGACAGGGAATAAGAGGTGAACACAAATAGCAACAACATGGTCTTAGTTTCCCCTTTCCTGGCATGAAAATGAATGAATAGAAGTAGTAAAGTACATTTTATTACCGTCATGGTTTTAAAAAATAATCTTTTAGTGACTTAACAGAAAAGACTTGGGAGGCAAGTTGCTAGAAGAGCAGGAAAATCAAATCCATGGCAAAGTGTAGAGAAGTACTCAGTCAGAATTACTAGTCAGTGCTCCATACATTTGCTAGATTAAATATTCTAATGGGTCAAGCTGGCCCAAATTATTAAATTCCCATAGGATGAAATGTACACACAAGGATGAACTATTATAATATACAACTTAAGGTTTATAAAAATTTCCATGCGTCTATACACCTTCTCACAAACTCATAAATCCTTTCACACGTCCTATCAATCATCCAAAGTGATCTTGCTGCTATTCCCCTACCTTCTGCTTTTGTTCATGCTGTCTTTTGGTCATGAATGTCCTTTGAGCTTGATTGTCCAAACTACAAACAGTATGTGTTCACCGTGCCACCTCCAGTATCTTTTTTTTAAATGCTTTATATATACTGTTCTTTGGTATTTTATCAGGTACTACCTTTTCCACGTGACATCTCTTTCTTGAGACAATCTGAGGGCGGGTCCTTGCCAATTTCATCACCGAATACACTACAACACTTAATCTTGCATTACAGGTACATAAGACACATTTGCACACATCATAAATGTATAAATGAAATAGCAGAATGCGAAGTATTTAATCTCCTATGACAATACCATGTGAAATAGTAAAAACCTATGCAATAGAGTTCCAGAGCTTTCTCTCTGAAATCTTTATTTGGTTCCCCATAAATGCGTGTTTGAGCACTGAGTCAAAAATTAGATCCAGAATGTACCTGTGGCTACTTGGTGGCCCAGGCCTCTGCTTCCACTGTGGATCATCACACACACCTGTCCCTTATGGTCGATGCCCATTTTCTTAGCTGCGTACTCATTGAAAATCTCATCCACAACCTGGATTTCTGCATAGTGGTTGCCTGCTCCCAGGGTCCCCAACTGCAAAAGTAAAAATGTCTGATAAAACTGCTTCTATTTCGCTTTTAAAGATTTATTGATTTGAGAGAGGGCGTGGCAGTGTGCATGCACAAGTCGGGGGAGGTGAAGAGGGACAGTCCTCAAGTAGACTCCCCACTGAGTGGGGAGCCTGACATGGGGCTTGATCTCACGAACCCATGAGATCATGACCTGACTGGAAACCAAGAGTTGGACACTCAGCTAACTGAGTCACCCAGGCGCCAGGCTTCTATTCTGCTTTAAAAAAAATCATTTAAAAAGCAAATTGGTAAAATCAACTGACAAAGAATCACAGTGTTTTATATAACAAAGAATTTCTGAGCCTCAGAAATGCTTCATGCATTTAAAGAAATACACAATAAAAAAATTATGGTAGAGTAGCTCTTGAAGTTTATTGTATCATTACCTGCTTGAGGTATATACAAATATGTATTAAAAACTTCATAAACCAAAACTCAGACCATTAAATGGCCCATAGGATATTTTAAACATTGTGGACAGAAGGGTCAAATTTTGGGATGAACTCTGGTGAATGTGGACTCTTACACAAGGTCTAAGTTCAAATGATTTTTGAAACATCTATGGGTTTACTGACAACTACCATTATCCACCACTGAAAGAATACATCCTGTAACTGGAGTTAAGAGATGATTTAGGGACGAGGGCACAGAAGTGCTGATAGTCTTTAGAGGCTGCCTAGTTTTAACTAGTTTAACTAGTTTTCAGGTAAGAAAACCAGACTCAGAGGTACACCTGGGTGGCTCAGTCAGTTAAGCATCTGCCTTCGGCTCAGGTCATGATCCCAGGGTCCTGGAACCCCTGCATCGGGCTCCTTGCTCAGTGGTCCAGCCCTCCCAACACACCCTCCCTCTGCCTCTCCCCCTACTTGTGTTCTTGCTCTTTCTCTGACAAAATCTTAAAAAAAAAAAAAAAAGAAAAGAAAAGAAAAGAAAACCAGACTTAGGCAAAAGAGACTTGCCCACAGTCACAGTGAATTAATGGCAAAGCCATCGCCATTAGCTGTAGATTTCAAACATGTGGTATATTCTTATCTCATGGACGCCATGAACTGACAAGATGTCTTCTCATCTTAGACTCCATAAAATTCAGCCACATCTGTGGACTGTCAAAGTATGTATGTATGTAATTTGGGCATAGATTTTTAAGCCTTATAATCATATCTCATTTTTCTCCCATCCATTTCTAATTCAGCACACCTTGTTGTATTTTATGAACATCTGCAAGTTCTTAACAGTTTTTTAAGAGTAAGAACAGAGCATAAACAAATTTGTGTTCTTTTTGATATATTGTGAAAAACCTGGCGTTATGTTTGCTACATAGAAGACTTTTCCCACTCAACAGAAACATACGACCCCCCCGGGCCCCCAAGATCGTTGCCCCTCCCACGTGTTACCTGAGGAAGGCCTCTTTTCTTAGCCCTCGCAGAGACCTTGTTGGGGTCGGCCTGCAACATCCTTCCGTACTCCTCACAGTGCTCCTTGTCTTCAGCCCAGGCATAGCCTTCCCGCAGGGACCAGTCCACACCCATCTCCAAGGCCTCCTCCAAGTCTCTGAGGGAGTAATAAGGTCTGGTCATTTCACAGCCGAGGCAGAGCAAAAGCCAAGATGACAACACCTCAAAAGGGCAGAGGGAAGCAGTCTGTTTACTCTCGCCTGTGTACCAGGTGCCGTGCTAGATGCAGTTTATGCTCTCAGCAGCTCCAGTTTTTTTTGAGGAAAGCAGCTACACGAGTAATTGCAATATAAAATAGTAAGGACCACGTGAGAGACGATTATAGTTCTTTAGACATTTATTCAGTCCCTTGTACTCTTCCAATCTTATTTGCATTAGATTTGCCTCTCTGAAAGGCAAAGAAAATTTATAACTGTCATCAGATATCACCATCTACCACAAACTTTACCACAGCTACCCACCTTCGTTAATAATTTATGAAAAATTACAGCCAAATAATAAACCTATGTAAATGCCTTCAGGTGGCACAGGATAAATTTTAAGGTATCTTTGCAGAAATACTACATGGCTTCAGTGCACATGCATTTTGAAAGGGCACATACATTAAATTCCTAGAAGGAATCAGCCTTGATCTTCATCTAAGGTCCAGGTCCAGCCCTCCCAACACACTATCTGGAAGGTTAAATGATCAATGTCATCTCCCCACTACAGCCCATTTCAAACATTATTTATGACATAGGACAAAATTTCTATTTAAAATATTTATGAAGATCTTAGAATTCATAATGTTCTAGGTATGCTTTTCAAACCAGGGCTGCATGTCAGGGACCACATAAATCACAGATCCTCCACGTTTATCAGTTTACTCCAAGTTTTTTGTTTTTGTTTTTTTGCTGGAGGGGAGCTGCAGAAGCAGTTAATAGCCAGAAACATATTGGTATTAACGTATGTACGTGTATGTAATTAGAATGCAAAAGTCACATAAATTTTTTTTTTTAAAGATTTTTTTTTTTTAATTTATTTATTTGAGGGAGAGAGAATGAGAGATAGAAAGCACGAGAGGGAAGAGGGTCAGAGGGAGAAGCAGACTCCCCGCTGAGCAGGAAGCCCGATGTGGGACTCGATCCCGGGACTCCAGGATCATGACCTGAGCCGAAGGCAGTCGCTTAACCGAGCCACCCAGGCGCCTGAAAAGTCACATAAATTTTAAAGATAAAACAGAAGATGCCAAAGAAACATTCTAGTTAAGCACACGTTCCGCAAAGTTTAAGATACACAGCTTTACAAGAGCCATGACAGTACTGCCAATGGCCATTGAAAAGGCAGTTATGCTGTGGCTTTCAATTTCATTCTCTACTGCTGAAATATTTAACATCCTCACTAAATATACAACATTCAGTGCCATAATTAAAAAAGGAAGGTCGTGGCTAAATAGAGGCTCACTGAAAAAAGGTGGTTCAGAATACAGCCTCTGAAGCCAAAGGATCTTTGGTTTGAATCCTGACTTTACTTACTAGCTTACTATTACCTCTTTAAACCTCACTTTCCTTTCTTGTCGATTGGGAATAACATTAGGGTTATTATCTAAATAAAATGACATGATAAACGTATACTATAGCACAGCACCTTCCATGTAGGAAGTGCTCAATAACTCTCAGTGGGTATTTCTGTTATAAATTGTGTGTGTCAAAGGCTGTTCTAATAATAAACATCATTTGACTAATCTCTCTAATCAATGGGGCGGGGGGGCACCTCATGTGTAAAAGAACAATTCATTACCACTTCCTGAAAGGTGACTGAACAATCCCCATCCCCTAAGCATCCTACATTGGTTATGAATGAGGGTCACGTGGTTATTTTCTTTCCCAATCCGCTTATTGGAATCTTGTCCTCTTACTTGGCACTCATGGGGATGACACCTTTTGATCCCACCCCAACAGGAATGTGGTCAAACATAGCTTGGGCAAGCTGCTCCTTCACAGGCTGGACATCACTTTCGTCTAAATTGGTTCTTAGCAAGCGCACACCGCAGTTGATGTCAAATCCAACGCCACCTGCAAAATAGAGAAGTTAGTCACAGATTAGCAAAACCAGGTAGTTGGGCAATGTTACCTGTGGTTTCTCACCATTAATATGGGGTTTGAAAGACAGCTCTTCTTTTAAAGATAACTTTTTAAAAGTAGCCCACAAAGTGAGTAAAGTCTGATGACATCAATACACCTGAAGTAATGTACATACTACCGGTACTTTGTGGGCCAGGAAGGCGGTAACGAACAATGAGTATCATCTAGACTAAAGATTAAAAAAGATGTATACAATTAGAAATTAATCGTAGTAAGTTATCATCTAGACTAAAAATTAAGATATATACAACTAGAAATTAATTGTAATGATGATAATGAGAGCAATCACTTACCCAGTACTTCCTAAGTGCCTCGTACTGTGCTAAGTACTTTTCACAGCTTAGCTCATTTACTCCTCATAGTAATGTTATGTGGAGTTAACGTTACTAGCTCCAATTTGCCCGAGAATTAACTGGGACACAAAGAAGACACATAATTTGCCAGCGAAGCGTTTCAGTTTGTTTTGTAGCCAATGTCTAAAAACTGCCTGGCATATAGTAGGAGCCCAAGTAATTTTCCATAAATGTACACTTTACTTGATATTTTAATGGCCTCCAAGTGTCCACAATTAATCCTCTCAGTAAACTAGGGGACAAGGAATGATAGACATGAGACTGAGAGACGCCCATACTCTATTTCAGAAGGACTGTGCTTCACCTGACGGCAGATGTGCACAGTGACCTTACCTGGGGATACCACTGCTTCAGGGTCACTCATATCAAAGGCTGCCATATTCCCAATAGCAAACCCATATCCTGAATGGACATCAGGAAGCCCAATAGATCGCTGAAAGAGAATCAGAAAATGAAATACAGCTTTCTCAACCTGACAAGACATTAATTCTCAAGTGGGCTGTGGGCCGAAGCCTTCCCCAAATCAAGATTGTTTTTATGAAACCTTCTCTATTGGTGAAAATTAAGTATAAAAACTTCTAATCATAAAGTTAAAAATAGCTGGAAAAAAACCTTTTTAATAAAGTCTGACCATTAACTAAGGAAACTGAAACAGAAAAGCCTCAGTATAACATGCTATAGGAAGGCCACATACTAACTTTAAGATAGTATTACGTTCTAAATATTTATTGTTATAAAAGAAAGATTTACTTATTATTTCAGAGAGAGTGAGTGAGAGCGGGGTGAGGAAGTGAAGAGGGAGGGAGAAAATCTTAAGCAGACTCCCGCTGAGTGTGGAGCCCAAAGCAGGGCTTGATCCTGTGACCCTGAGATCATGACCTCAGCCGAAATCAAGAGTTGGATACTCAATCAACTGAGCCACCCAGACACCCAAAGTAGAATTACATTTGAAAGATAATCTTTAGACACGGACAAATTGTGGTCACATCAGGCTAAGTGAAGGGAAATATCTGATGTATACAGGTCCTTAGTGTTTAAGCCATCATAGGCAAATGTAATCCATTTGCTGGTATGAATACTGTACACTTTCTACATCTGGGGCCTAGGAAAGGGTCCTGACCCAGGAAGAATGCGGGTCAATGCAGACACCTAGACACTTAAGAGTTCCTTACACAATCCATTTCTTTTCATTTTCCTCCCAAGTGCCAGCACAATAAATGGTATAAAGACCTCAAAAAATGTCTGTTGTAAGGATTTCATACCTTCTTGTGATGGTGGAACCTGAATGTTAGACCGTGGAGGGGCCCCACTTGCACCACCCAGGCCTACCTATTATTGCCACCACCCTCCTTTCCCAATCATGCCTACAACAACTGTACTGTCCTTTCTCCCTCCCCACAGGTCTAACCCTTATACTTCTGTCCATTCTTTCTCCAATCTCCAATCATCCCCTTGAATGGGACCAGAGTGAAACTTTCAATGGTGGTACCCTGATCCAGGAATAATGCTGTACTGACAAAGAAAAGAGAAAACAAAACTACTTCAAAGATTTTCAAATGCTTACAGGTTCTAGCAAAAAGCAACCAGAAACTGAGATGCTATCCAGACTCAATTACTTCTTTAAGCTCCATGGTTATTTCTAGATGTTTGAAGGTCACTATCTAAGTGACACCGCTATCAGTTAGGCCTGGCCATTCATCCACTCGCAAACTTTGAGACTAAGACAGAATACAAATGATTAAAACTCTGAACACGGACTCACATGAACAATCCCAGGCAGGGCTGCCACATTGCCAATTTGTTTCATGGCTGGCAGGAAGCCACCGACACCTGAAGACAAAAATTCAGAATTAGAAAAGGGGACGCAGTTGATTTTTAGCATTAAGTATATTTATAGGTTTCTTGCTTGCATTAAATGAAGGGGTAGTGGTCAGGACAAGCCGGAGAGGATGTGTGGGGTGAAGTGGGAAGGGGGCTTCATCAAGAAGGTAGCGCATGGGGGCGCCCGGGTGGCTCAGTCATTAAGTGATTGCCTTCAGCTCAGGTCATGATCTCAGGGTCCTGGGATCGAGCCCCACGTCGGGCTCCCTGCTCAGCGGAAAGCCTGCTTCTCCCTCACCCACTCCCCCTGCTTGTGTTCCTTCTCTCACTGTCTGCGAATAAATAAATAAAATCTTAAAAAAGAAGGCGGTGGCGGCGGCGGCAGCACACACACAGGATGGTAGCGAGGGCAACTGGAGTAATCACAGACACGCTGTCAGCGTTCTGTGCATACCACGGGAAGGTTCCTTGCAAACACAGTACTGAGAAATGTGAAACAACTAATAAACGTTATGTTGCCGATGTAAAACAACAACAACAACGACAACAACACTGGTTTTACTCTAAGTGACAAAGAAGGGCAATGCAGAAGAGCTGGGACAACACTGGACTGAAAGGCAGGGGACATGGGGCTCTAGTTTTGCTCTATCACTTGGTCGCAGTGTCATTTTAGGCAAGTCAGGATGTCCTGGTGGGGACAGGGGTGGGATTTAGATTGTTGAGCTAAAAATAAAAGGGTTAAAACCAGGTTCCACTGTAATACCATCATCACCATTAGAGCATTATATTAGAGCTTTCATACACTTATCCCTAAACATTGGTGCAGTTCTGCAAGAGAAGTGTAATCAACTCCCCTTTACAGATGAGATTAGCTGAAGTTAGCTAATCAGTGTAGTGGTTAAGAATGAAGACTTTGGAATCAGACACTCTTAGATGTGAGTTCCGCCTCACCGAGAAGTTATGCAACTGGACTAATTAAAACGACTTACCAACAAATAAGAGCCCAGGGCTAGATGGTTTCCCAGGGGAACTCTACCAAACATTTAAAGCAGAATTAATACCTATTCTTATGAAACTGTTCCAAAAAATCGAAATGGAAGGAAAACTTCCATACTCATTTTACAAGGCCAGCATTACCCTGATCCCAAAACCAGACAAAGACCCCATCAAAAAGGAGAATTACAGACCAATATCCCTGATGAACATGGAT